TCACCACCCAGCCCAGTGCTTACTTGAGTGACTCCAGCGGGCAGGTGGATTCAGCCAGGCCCCGGCACAGGGCCTGGCCGCCGGCCTCGCCAATGTCATTGTTGTTCACCCCGAGCTCCTTCAGCTCCCGCTTGGCCCTGAGCACTGAGGCCAGGGGCTCGCAGCTGGCAGCTGTCAGGTTGCTATACTCCAGCCTGGGGACAGGTGGGAGGTCAGCCCTCACCCAGGAACACATCTCCTTCTGCCTGGGTTGAGGCCGTAGGCAGGAGAGCAGCTGGGCGGTGAAGGCACAACAGTGGCCAAGGGCTCTCTCTTTGGAGCAAAAGTGACCCTCCTGGAGACCACCCGCTGACCACAGCCAGCCAAACTCGGGATTCCCTGGGCCAGGAGCAAGATGCCCAACCCCCTCCCTCTGCTGCTGACAGAGGGCACACTCAGTGCCAGGCAGCCCTCCACACAAGTGCAGAATCACCAGCCAGCTGCCAGTTCCTTTGAGAGGGTCACAACCGCAGAGTCACTGGGAAGGAACATCTGTCCCCAAAAGGCCCTCCTCAAACCTCCCCGCAGCCAACATGGGGGAGGGGCTCGCCCAGTGCAAGCAAAACCCAAGTGGCAGGAGGGTATAGGGCTAGGGGTGGGCCTAAGCAGGACGGCAGGCACCTCCGGGACCCCGGCAGGGAACACTCACTGCAGCCTCTCGATGTGACACTGGGGGTCCAGGAGCCCCTCGCAGAGAAGCCGCAGGCCCGCATCCCCCAGCTGGTTGTAACTGAGGTCCAGCTCACACAGGGAGGGCAGGGAGCGCAGCACGCTGGACAGGGTCCCACAGCCGGTCTCGGTCAGACAACAGTTCTGGAGGCTGTCAGAGCCGCATGCCCACCATCACAGGGAGGCCATGCGGGGCCCTGGGGTTCCTAGGCTGAGGGCAGGAGGGGGTGCGCTGGGGGGACAGAGAGGCCTGAGAGGTACCTCTGGGAGCAGGGGAAGCTGGATCACTGAGCCTCCCTCGGGGCAGGGAAAGTGGGTCACTGTGAGCCACCCTCGGGAGCAGGGGGAGCCCCAGGCCCCAGTGGGTTTGGCTGTGTCGCCCACACAGGCTCACCTGAGCTTCTGGATCTTGCAGGTGGGCTGCAGGCCCTGGAGCACCAGGTGTGTGCCAGCATCGCCCAGCTCGTTGGAAGAGAGGCTGAGCTCAGTCAGGGTGGGGTTGTCCCTGAGCGCGGAGCTCATGTCCTTGCAGCGCCCCTCTGTGATGCCACAGTCCACCAGCCTGGGGATGGGACGCGCAGTGGTCATGCCACGCAGCAGGTCAGACCCGTTAGTGGGCCAAGAACAAGGCAGTGACAACCACATTTTAAATGAAACAGAAAAAGTGAGCGGATCCACTTGGGACACCTGGATTGAAGATACTGGCACGTACGCAGGTGAGTCAGGGTGCCACGTGCTCAAGGGGCATGGTCAGCGTGACAAACTCCTGTCACCTCCTAGAAAGCAGGCCCCTTGAAGGGCACAGCCAGGGATCGACAGGAGCAACAAGACAACCGTGAAACCAGACCATAAGCAGGGCCAAGGCTGCCTGCCTTCGTGGGGCATCGAGTAAGCACCGGGGGTGGGGGTGACAACTGACAGAAACGTACAAGGAGTGAAGGAGTGAAACCCTCGGTGGGAAAGGCCCAGTCGTGGCCACTGAGGGGCCAACGTCAGAAGGCAAAACTCTGCACTGACAGGACTTGAGCAGTGCCGGGCATGTCACCAAGGTGTTCACCAATCACCAGAGCAAAACCGTGACCACGGTGGAAAACTGCAGGCACCACCTGAAGAGGCAGCCAGGGTGACAGTCAGGATGACCGTGTGGTGCCATCGCCACCACACTCCCCACAATACGACATGCCAGGCAGGACACATCACTTCTTTGTTCTTGCCAAAAATGTGGACCTCAGCCATGAGAAGACATCCCAGGGACCTTCTCCAGACCTGAGCTGACCCAACAGGCAGGTGGCCAAGGACAAGGGGGGGGTTGGCCAAATGCCACTTGGGATCCTGCACTGACCGGGACAGGAAAGGACCCAGTGGGGAAACTGGTGACGTTGGAGTCGAGGGGGCTGTGGTGGGCTCCTCATTGTAACCAGTGCCCCAGGCGATGGGCGCTGACTTCAGGGGAGGTGGGGCAAAGGGCAGTGGGCATCCCCAAACCATCTCCACAACGCTTCTGTGAACCTAAATCTATTTTGAGCCTGTTAAAAAGACAAGCAGGCAACTCATGTCATGTGGAGCCTGAGGAGCTGCTGGGTTTGAGAACCTCGACAACAGGCAGGGACAGGGACACGAAGCCCACTGGGCGACTGCCCAGAGGAAGGAGCCGAGGCAGAGACCCTGGCCCGGCTCTGCCCACCGGCCTTCACGGCCTCCACGCCAAGTCCCGCCCACCGGCTTGAGCCAGGAGTGGATTTACATTTTCAAACGTTTGGGGGGAAATACTAGGACATTTCACCTAGTATGAAAATCAGTTTACTTTGTGTGTCTGTAAGGAGGGTGCCTTCGGGGCACACCATACCACTCAGGGCCCAGCC